GGGGTGCCGACGACCCCCGACTGGTAGGTGCCGACCAGCCGACCAGTCAGGGGTCACTGACGGTCGGGGTGTGCAACACTGCCGAACACGCTAAAATGCACAGTGGATGGCCAGCACATCCACGGAATACACCACAAACAGAAGTAACGCGCATACGAACTGCGTATCTGCAAACACACGCGCTAGCAAAGAGGAAGCGAAAAGCCACGCGGCAGAGCGAATGCACCGAATGCAAAGCTCGCTAGCAGGATAGCAGGATCGAACGGACCTTTCGCAAACCCCGGGTACGATGTGAATTGTTTATACCCGGGGTTTGCGAAAGGTTGGAGGCCGGTAGAAAACTCTCCAAAACCCGTTTCAGGAGCACACGGTAAAAGACGCACAGTGGATGTAGCAGATTCTGCGTGGCCCGCGCCCCCTGTCCTGAGCCTTTTCCCAAGACTGGAAGCCTTGCCTGGCGGGACCATTACGTCAGGCCCGGCTTACACTTTAGTAAGAGTATAGAAAAGACTCGTGCAAGGCATGCGGATTCTAGGCCTCGACTACTAATGGCTCCTCACGCGTCAACCACAAAAATTTAACCTGCCTGAGGACAGCTGGCCCTTCTGGATGGAAAAGGGCTGCCCAGGCCCTGGTCGCCGGTTGGTTACAGGCGAGGAAGAAGGCTGTATGACCAGGCCCTGGGCTTCCGAAATGCGATGTCACCGGAGGCTTTTCGGCCAGTGGGAGCGCAGGAAACAGCGGCAGCCACATCGGGCAGTTGAGACCTTAACTGACCGGGGCCAGGGCACATTCCGGTAGGTCCCTGGGCACAGATACTGGAAGAGGCCCGGAAGCTACTGGGTACCACATGCGAGCATCCAGGCCAGGCTCACTTTTCCATGAAGGATAGTGCTGAGGCCAGTGGAGGAGGTTCTGGCCTTGAGGCTCATGCATAAACGCTGCTGCTATGCTCGCTTGCTGGAACGCGCACTGAGGCTGCCGGGGCGCAAGAAACGAAGTCTCCATTCATCATCTGGCAGCTGTACATCATGAAGATCTGTTGATGTCATACTTGGATAACGCTAGTGCATAGGTGCTGTTTGATCGCTGTGTGGGCGCCGGGGGCCATGTTAGAAGAGCGGCATTGGATACAGCGATTGTGGAGGTGAGATAAGAGCTGACGTTGTTATTAGAGTTCATTGCTTCGTTCGTATTTGGTGTGTACCTGGTTCATTCTGCTTTCTGTATGAGCAGATGGCTTTCTGGCTTTTATGCAACTTGGTTTCTGTACTTCGTATGGCTCATTTTCCTTGCACTCACGGCATCCGCATTATTTCTGCTGTTATGTTGTCTCATCATTTTGTTGTTTGTTGTTGCCTGCAGATGGTTCGGTATGACATGATGGTTGCTAACTACAATGTAAGGATGCTCCAGTATACATCAGCGGAGATCAGCACTCCATTCCTATTGCCTGAAATGGTATGGTATGGAAGGGAACTGCCCCAATTAGCCTTCTACCCTTGTCAGCGGTTGAAAACTTGAAATCCAGTTTGTCACTCACACAGAAAAAAGAAAGAAAAAGAGAGTCGCTCGCTTCTCATGATATGATGAGACCTGTGCGAGAACTGTAGTGGAAACCACATCGAATCATTCTTCCAGGTTGGTTGTCCTAAATTGTGTAAAATCCTGAGCTTTATGTCGGTAGCTGATGAGATGAATGTGAATATTTGTTGAAAGCTGAGAGTAGCCTAGCTCAGTTGGTACAGCCATAAACTGTTGAAATAGAGACATGAGTTCGAATCCAAATGGACGGAGATGAACGGAATTTCTGAATTACCCACGCCTTCTGGAAAAAAAAACGAAGGGACAAATGTTTAAAAATCAAATGGGCAAGTACTTTCAAGTCACACCCCATGTTCAGAATGGGCAAGTTTAGCAGTTTGCAAAAAATGGCAAAAAAGGCAACCCGAAAATTGCCTCCACTACAGGGGGTAATGACTTGTGCGGTTTCAACCCACCGCTAAAGTTGCACATTCTCAAATTCACACCATGACCACAGCGCCATTTTGTCTTTTCTTGGATATTTCAAACTAAAAGTGTGACACAGCCACAGTTTCATCAAAATCAAAATCAAAAGCCAAAAAAGAGAAGAATGGGATATATTAACTGTATAGGTCAGTTTGTACACCCATGAACTGTTGAAGTACAAATCTGAGTTCGAATCCAAGTGGAATTAGATGCATGTCAGCGGTTGCCCTTTTATTAAAAATAAAAAAAAGGAAGAATTGGCCGAGTACGGACGCCGCCCGGCTGGGCGGGCCCGGGTGAGCCGCCTGGGCAAACCGGGTGGGCAAAAAAACAGCTTTTATTTTTTTTTTGAAGGTGGGGTCCTCCTGTGCTCGGCGAGAGGACCCCGAATCTGCAATAAAATTCTGGTTTTGGGGGGGGACGAGTTGTTCGGGTGTGAGGTGGGGGGGTGTTGGGGACTCTGCATGTATGTTGCCTGCAATTTGCTGCATGTATGATCGGAGGAGGGGTGGGGGGTTTTCTGGGAGGAGCAGCAGTGAAGAACTCAAAGGAGAAGAAAAGCAGGACTATAAGAAGAAGAAGAAGAAGAAGAAGAAGAAGAAGAAGATGAGAGGGGGAGGAGGAGGAGGAGACAAGAGGCGGAAGAATGATCAGAGAAGGAGAAGGAGAAGAAGAAGAAGAAGAAGAAGAAGACGAGCGGAGCATTTTTTTTTTTCCCCCCCCCTTACCTGTCGTTTATCTCACGACCTATCGCTAACGAATGTAAAAAAAAAGAAGAAAAAGAAGATAGTCGGAAGAGGAGGAGGAGAGAAGAATAAGAAGAATAAGATGAGGGGGAGGACGACAACGAGAGATGAAGAAGAAGAAGAAGAAGAAGAAGAAGATGAGAGGGGGAGGAGGAGGAGGAGTGAAGAAATCGTGGAAGAAGAAAAGCAGAAGAAGTATAAGAGGAAGAAGTATAATAATAATAATAAGAAGAAGAAGAAGAAGAGGGGGGGGAGGAAGAAGAGAGGGGGAGGAGCAGAAGAATGAGTGGAGGAGGAGGAGGGAAGAGGAAGAAGAAGAAGAAGACCGACACTCCACGTAGACGGGCGGAAGGGGATGTCGGCAGGCAGGAGCACCACGATCGACGACGCTGGCGACGGGCGATGGGCGACGGGCGACACGACGACGACGGGCGAGTGAAGCTCCCAGGCGATGGCGACGAGGGCAGCTACTTCGATGAGGGGCAGCAGCACGAACGCAGGCGGCTGGAGCAGGTTTCGAGGCCCCGTTCGGACAGCCAATGCAGGCCACCCCAGTCAGTCGCTAGTTCAAACAGGGCCTCCGTTTCCCTCCAAAAACGAACGGCCCTCTGGCCGTCGATCATGGATGATCGTGGGCCGTCCTAAATTAAAAAAAAAAAAACAGGCCTCACAGGCATGACGCGGCGTTTTCTCGGCGTGGTCGGACCCGGTAGGCCCTGGGGAGGCACAGTGAAATTGAGGGTCGGCAAAAACAGGCTCGGAGATACTAGTGGTTTAAGGTCATTGCCCTTTTTTCAAAAAAAAAGGAAAAAAAGAAGGAAGAATTGGATGGCTGTTGGGAGTTTGAGAGACTAGTTGGGATGACTGTACCTGGTCGTGTTTGTGCATGAAAGAAGTTTGTCTGAATGCTGTGCAATAACCCATGCCATATGTGTCGTGGAACTGAGGGTCATCAGAAGGCCTACTTGGCCGCCCTCAGCCCAGGCCGAACCAGGGCAGAAAAGGCCCTTCACGAATTCAGGGCCTGGGCGTGTGACAGTTGACTTTGGTCAACTCTCGGTCCACCCAACAGTCCCAAGTCCAAAGGTACCTAGCCCAGGCCGCAGGTGAAGCACACACACTTGTTTGTACGCAGGTACCCAGACAGCATCAGGTCCAAGGGAGAAGTCTGCAACTGTACAATTCGGGCCTTCAGCTGTGAGTCAATCTGGACGACTGAGGGGAAATGCACCGAGGCCAGACAGCCTCGCTGACTACTACTTAAGGCTGGCCTCGAGGAAGTCAAGGCATTCAGTCTTGCTATGCTGCTTTGACGCTGGCTCGACTTTGGCTAGATGCTGGCTACATGCTGGCTGTGCACAGGCGCTGCGGCCGACAGCACGAGGTGGAGGCAGCATGCTGGCGCTTTCTCAGTGCGCCAGGCTATGCTGATGTGGTGTTACGTCTGGTCTACCTGGTATGCTGACGTGGTGCTGTCTCTGGTATACGTGGTGCTGCCTCTGGACGACGTGGCATGCTGACGTGGTGCTGCCTCTGATCGACGTGGCATAGTGACGTGGTGCTGCCTCTGGTATATTTGGCGCTGCCTCTAGTCTACGTGGCATGCTGATGTGGCGCTGCCTCTGGTTTACGTGGCGCTGCTACTGGTCTACATTGATGATGTGGCGAATGCCACCTGTTTCGGTTGCTGATGTGGCATTGTCCACGCTGTCTACATGAGGTGACTGGTTGCGAGGAGGAGGAAGATCGGGATCTGTGGATATAGGGAATCGGGTACTCACCTGAGGTTGACGTCGCCACTGGAAATCTGCTGTGTCTTCGGAGTCTTCATGAGATAAAGTGCCACGTGGCACTATTGTGTGTGATCAAGAATATACTTCTTATCATTGAGGATGTGGTGTGGGAAGAAGCCTGGAGAAGGAGAGGGATCTGAAGGGTTTATTACTGTGTGATCTCTCTTCCTCTCCTTTGTCTATTCTCCTTCCACTCTCTTCTCTTTTGGATATTGAGTTACTGTTTGAGATATCACTTCACGATCTGGAGACTTTCATGCAGATATTGAAACTACGGTAGATTGACGACTTCTGAGTATCCATTAGACTGGGTTCATTGCAGCTGTAACTTACTGTGGTGTTATGGTTCTCGAGAAACTATGGAACAACATTGTTGTCTGCTGCAGAATGTTTCTGAGATTTTATTGCAGGTGATGCCCTCATCCAGGGAGAAAGAAAGACTCGTGGACCCTGGGCATTGGTGAACAAGGACCATGGGCAACACGAAATGAAGAGACAACTCATGGCGAGAAAACAAAAAGAGTAGCATTTTGACATAGAAGCCACCCAGAATGACATTCTGCAGAGTTGGAATCCCGTGCTGACACAGCACCATGAATAGAACGAATGTGGAAGACAAGTGAAAGGATTTCATGCTCACACCAGTCCCAGTCCCAATCTATAGTCCCAGATGGTCCTGGTCCCAGGAAGTCCCAGTAGTTCGTGTCCTAGGTCCGTTGAGTCCGTACGTTGAAACGTCGTAGGTTGGTAGGAGTGGGGTACCGAAGTGTCGTAGATCGGCAGAGGTCCACAGGTCCAGACAGAAAAGTCAGTCCCAAAGTCCAGTTTTGCAGCAGCGTCCCTAGGCCGAGACGGGAACATTCTGGATGCATCCAGAACATGCAACAGAGCCCGACACGACCGGTACTGGTCGGATACAGGCCGCGGGCAAGTCCAGCGCGCTAGCTGCTACAGTGCCAAAGCGAGTCAGTTGTTCATTTGCCAGTTGCGGAAGTGCTCCTGGTTGCTTGTGCAGTAAGCAACTTGAGAGACTCCATAGCTAGGTTTGAACTGGAGGTGGGGGCGGCCATAGCTGCCATGGTCGGAGAGAGGGAGACACAGGTGTATCCAGGGTAGATCTGAGTAGTAGTCACAGTCACAGAGGTCAGAGAGAGAGAGAGAGAGAGAGAGATGTGACGATATATATATGCCTCTTTTCTCACAGCATACAAGTGGGCTGTTATGGCACACGGGGATGGGGGCAGCTCGCGCTCAACTTCATTAACATTGCGAGCCTTGTACGTGAGAGGCACGGTGAAAAGGGAGTCAAAAGAAGAACGAGTAAAATGAATGGTTTCACTGTGCCCTTCATGTTTGTCTTGTTTTTTTGTTTTTTTTTTTGTTTTTTTGTTTTTGCCGTTTGTTTCGCAAATTGCGCTCTTTTAGTTCATAGGATTTGTTTTCATTTTGTTTGCTTCGATTTTGTTATTGGGCATCCTGGTTGGTTGTTTCCCGTTGTTCGGCCTTTTGAGCGCGGGGCGGTGCTTGTATGTGGGAATCGTCATCTGGGATTGTCTTCTTTTTTAAGTTGTCACACTGTGATCAAGCACTCAGGAGCCTTTCTTTATTTTCTTTCTAGATAAGAATGTTTTGATATCCTGGTTGGTCTCGTCCCGTCGTTTGGCCTGTGAGTTGCGGGGCGGTGCTTGCATGTGGGACGTGTCATCTGGGATTTGTTTTGTTGCCCCCTGTTCTGTATTATTTGGCTGTTCCCTTCCTCTTTTCTTTGCC